TGAGCTGCTACTGCAAGCTGCTGGGTAAGCTGCTACTGCAAGCTGCTGTGTAAGCTGCTATTATACCAGATATGGATAATCTTCTACTAGGGGCAATGATTATCCATAACGGAGTACTGAAAGGATAAGCTCATTGTACCCGGTATGGATAATCTTCTATCGGGGGTAATATTTATCTATAACCGGGTATCGAAGTGATAAGCTTATTATACCCGGTATGGATAATCTTCTACCGGGGATAATGTTTATCCATAACCGGGTACCGAAGTGATAAGCTTCTTCGGGAAGCTTATTTCCAATAGAGTACTCAATAGATAAACATATTTACGGCGGAGTCCCATATGGATAAGCTTCTTTAGGAAGCTTATTTACAACGGAGTACTAAATGAACATCCATAATATAATATATTTATAACACTCCCCCTTGGATGTTCATTAAAAGATAATGTGCCTCATTAAAACCTTACTAGGAAAAACCCCGTGGGAATAAATTCTAGTGAAGGAAAAAGAGTACACATATTTAGTAGTACGCATTGCTAGGTGCCTCATTAAAAACCTTATAAGAAAAACCCTGTGGGAAAAAACCTTAATAAGGAAAAAAGAGTGCATCGCGTATTTTACTCCCCCTGATGAAAACTTTGTTTCAAATATTTGAGTCTCTGCATTCTAATCTTGTATCTGCATAACCAATACGATCTGCACCACCTTTGTTAGCATTAGCAAGATAAATAAGTGCATAGCAATTGCACTGAGATTTCAGGACCAAGGAGTTCATCATCCTCTTCTGGAAGTCGGAACGGGTCCTTATTTACTTCAAGTGATTGAACACCCATTGGTGTACTTAATGGGTGCGCTTTGTCCATGTAAAAGCGTTTAAAGACCCTTTCTGTATAGGCAAATTGATGGATAAAGATCTCGTCTGCTAAATATTTAATTTGCAGACCAAGATAAACTTTTATTTTTCCAAGATCTTTCATCTTAAATTCTTTCTTAAGATATTCAATTGCCTTTGGAGCTCTTCTGGAGTTCCAACAAGATTTATGTCATCAACGTAAACAGCAAGTGAAACAAATTTTGATGACATTTTCTTTATAAAAATACATGGACAAATAACATCATTATGTAACTTTCTTTCAGCAAATATTCACTGAGGCAATTATATCACATACGCCTAGATTGATTTAAACCGTACAAAGATCTTTATAATCTGATCGGATACATTTCTCGAGACTTTGAACTACATGCTTCAGGCATTTTAAATCCTTCGGGGATCTTTATAGAGATTTAATCAAATGAGTCATATAGGTTATGACTCGCATTTAAATGGCATGACATCTTCAGGTGTCTGGACTACTCGTCCGATCCTCATAATATTTTACAGTATTGTGCACTATATTGTATCAAATATATCGTCGGCGATCATTTTGTATCGGTTCCTAAGCGACATAACTTGTTGAGATCTCATTACTTTCTTTATTTTCATGTACCTGAACTTCTTCTGGAGTTTCATGAAATGTTATGTCGTGGACTCTTCTAGAGCTTATTTCCTCCTCATTATGATCATTTTGATCATTAGCTCCTTATCATTTTTGAAGGATTGTTATCTTTGGAACCGATTGGTCTATCACGCTTCATGCGTACGATAAACTTTATCCTTCTGGGACTTTAATTTTAATATGAGCATTTGTAGCTGAAATATGATATTGAATTTTGGATCAGCAAATGCTTCTGGCATTTGACGTGAATTATCTTCTAAGTGAGGATCATATTGATGATAATTCGATTCGTATAGCATATTTTTCAGTTGTTTATTCCATCCCCCTAACGTTAGAAAACTAACATATATTCCCAATCTTCTTTGGGAAACATATCTTTGTGTATCGTGGTAGAGAAATTAATCATATACCACACATCAAAAGATAGTAAAAATATTTGGTTTTTGATCCTAAACCAATTGTGAGGGGAGGACTTATCATATATTGTTGGTCTGATGCATACAAGTGCTGTTATATGCAATTTAGAAAATCTTAGACCAACACATAAATCTTTGTTATCATAAGCAATGGTTTAGCCATTAGTAAGAGGCATTCAATGCTAAACCAGCTTGGATATAAACCAGCATTAGAAAGATGAACTATCTTGATTTCATAATCTGAAAGTTATGCTCTTAATTGAGAAAAGCAATCTCAAATGTCAAACTGTAGGTTGACAATAAACATACATGTAACCATCTTATATATGCATCTATAAGGTGTTCACATGACAGGTGAATGGGCCATATTCACCTTTTATATATTTCAGAATCAGGGGTCTTAGTCCCAACTTTAGCTGGTAAAGTCAATTTATTATGAGAACAAGCAGCACAAGAGAATTCTTGAAGAATCTTCTAGTTCTTCAGTATATGCTTCTCTGAATTCTCAAATAGCTCATTTAAAAATGGCAAGTGAAAATTTCAAGTTTATCATGGCATGCGCTATCTCTTAGTAAACTTCTGGTTTACTATGGCACAAACTTTTGCATTAGTAAACTTCTGGTTTACTGTGGCTGCTTTTGTATAAGTAAATTTCTCATTTACTGTAGCTGCTTTTGCATTAGTAAACTTCTGGTTTACTGTGATACATGATGTAGCACAAATTGAAGAATAATGCGGGTAACTTCTCACATACATACCCCCTATGATTGTGGAAATATGAAGATTTTCAATCTTTCAATCATTTGTAGTATCAGTATGATTGCCATTTGTATTAGTAAACTTCAAGTTTACTACAACATATGTTTTGACCATAATCATATAATATGAATGACAAATTTGCATATAAGCTCTTCGGGAGCCTTCAATTTATTTTTCACAATCAAATATTGTTCAGACACTACTTGTATCATGTGTCTTTTAGACAAACAGTTAGCTCTTCAGGAGCTTTGATAAATTTTGTACTATCAAATATTGCTCAGAAACTTCTGGTATCATGAGAGAAAATCATAATCAAATGAATATTATAAAGACAATTCCAAATTTATAAATATAAGAAATTAAGAATTTCAGTATTTTTACCACCAACTTTGTGACAAATATCTCCTTCAGGTATAAATGCCATTAATATCTGAATATTTTATATCAAAGCGGTAAATACATAGTCATTATATCCTTCAAGGAAAGTTACATGACTTGTTATTTCCTTCAGGGAACTCGATAACTAACCAGAACATATTAATGTGGTTGTTGTAGAAAGCATTCTACAAGAATACTTTTGCCTTGGAATGATATTTAATAAAATTTTCCAAGATATTTTACGTACAACGGGTACGCGCGACAATGATCTTTATGCCACAAAAACAAGATTTATATCCTTTGTTATTCTATCTCTTCAGGAGGTGAGTTGTGGTATTTCTTCATTCACTCCAGGGAATGAAAATGTGCTTCAAAAATAACTTTGAATAGCTTATTATTTTGTTTAAGCACAGAAAGACACAATTTCATAATATTTTCTTGCTTCAGGAGAAAATGTCAATTGTGTTACTTCTTCAGGAGTAAATTTAATATACGAAAAAATGAGTATATATTCTCTCAATCATATTACCTCTTCTGGAGCTGAATTGTATATTCATATCAAAAGCGCGTTCATATTTACGAGCTTTATTAATATTGTCACATTCACTTCGGGGAATGGATTAATTTTTATCAAAAGTTCTCATCCTTCAGGAAACAGAAGATAATTATCTGAACGTGCATTAATCACACCAAATCGTGTGATGCTTCAACCTCTTTCAAGATAATGCTACTTCAGGAGCAAATCGAGGCATGCAAGTAATATAGAGAAATTTTCTACAACTTATCTTCAATTGTAACCATTGAAAACCTAAATTATCACTTCTGGTGGTTATAGGCACATACCACTTCCGGTGGTTAACAAAATTTAGTTACAATGAGATATACAAAACATAACCACTTCTGGTGGTTATATATTTCTTGCAAACTCTGCTGGAGTTTAAGTGGATCTAACAATGTTATCCACTTTATAATCCTTTATTAAGATAATAAGGATGAAAACTAATACCAAAATAGGTACTGTATACGTAGCATATAACCAAGCAAGCGATGATAAAGATATTAAACAAAATATAAGCAAAAAGCTCAAATTACTTTACACAAATTTGGCCACTCGAGACGTAAGTGATATCCACATCACTACTTGACCACGGCGAAAAAGACTCATCAACCTCAACGGATATAACCTGCCTTATGATGCTCGGAGTGAACAAGATCTAACCACGGACGTAAGAGTGTCGCCTTACATCAGAGATGAACACCGAAATAGAAATTAAATTCGAAGTAAGTGCTCAAAATGGCAGAGTCTCGTGCTGATAACGTATTATAAAATAAAGACTTTAAAGTAAAGAAATCAAAGACAAGTATAGAGAGAGAGATTGATATTATTCAACTTCAAACTGATGTACATAATGAACTGAAATCTCTTCTATTTATAGAAGAAAGGAAGCTGCTGTGTAAGCTGCTACTGCAAGTTGCTGTGAGCTGCTACTGCAAGCTGCTGTGTAAGCTGCTACTCAAGCTGCTGTGTAAGCTGCTACTGCAAGCTGTTGTGTAAGCTGCTATTATACCAGATATGAATAATCTTCTACCAGAGGCAATGATTATCCATAACGGAGTACTGAAAGGATAAGCTCATTGTACCCGATATGGATAATCTTATACCGAGGTAATATTTATCTATAACCGGGTATCGAAGTGATAAGCTTATTATACCCGGTATGGATAATCTTCTACCGGGGATAATGTTTATCCATAACCGGGTACCGAAGTGATAAGTTTCTTCAGAAAGCTTATTTCCAATAGAGTACTCAATAGATAAATATATTTACGGCAGAGTCCCATATGGATAAGCTTCTTCAGGAAGCTTATTTACAACGGAGTACTAAATGAACATCCATAATATAATATATTTATAAAAGTTTTTAGTTTTTCACTATAAAATTGAATATGCAAAATCCCAGATTTTGACCACCCCCGTAGGAAGGAAAAGAAACCATAGAACTATTCTCTCCATCTCTATCTCTCACGCACACATAGCGGCGATGGCTTTGAGGTCGAGTGCATCCAAGCTTATCACCTCCTCTCAATCCCTCCTTTCCAACTCCGGTCAGTTCCTACCTCTGCTTACTCATTATGGTTTTTCTTCTTCATTTTTTGCATTTATTATCAATCGGTGTTCTTTTTCTTCATTTTTCCATTTTATTATCAATTTGTGTTCTTTTTAATCTATTTTATTTTTTATTGGATGTACTGTGATGTGTGTTTACTGTAAATCTATCGGTTTTCGTGTAGCCCCTTGTAATGAATCGGTTATTTTCATGGTTTTATTTTCTCCTAGATCTGCTTGATTGTATTGTGAACCCCCACCCCAACCCCACCCAAAAGAGGAAAATGAATTATTTTTTTATGCATCCCACATATCATTTCTATTGACATATGTTTGCGAACCAGAGATCAAAAGAAAATCTTAGGCCAATGAGGTTTAACTCAACTGGTTGGGCTTATTAGGTATCTTGGACAACTACATTTCTTGGCCAACAGTAAAAGTTAGTTTAGTGTGACCAGGAGGTCGCGGGTTCAAGCCATGGAAATAGTCTTTTGCAAAAATGCAGTTAATGCTGCATATATATTACATAAGACCCAATGTGTCCGACCCTTCCCTGAATCTGCGTATAACTGGAGCTTAGTGTACCCGGCTGCCCCTTCTCGCAAGAGAAAGAAAATAATTTGTTTTGACCAATATGTATATGTTTACTCCAGCATAATGTACTTATAATGAATTTATACAAATTGGATTAAGGGAGCTGATGGTCAAATTTAGTTCAATTTATACAAATTTGTTTTCCTCGCTTGGAAAAGCGACAAGCCTCTTTTCGCTTAAAGCATGAAGCGAGAAGCAAGAAGCAAAGCACTCGCATTTTTGAAGTGAAGCAGAATTAAAAAAAATACTAAAATAAATAATGCATAGACAACACATGTAACCACATACAACAAATGTAACTGCCAATACTAAAAAATTGGCAATGAGACTAAGGACAAAAGATGAAGAACTGAAGAAAAAAAAGTTTGGCAGCATTTCGCTGCAACTTTAAGGACTGAAACGAAAATAAGAAGAAGAAGAGAATGAGAAAAAGAAGAAGAACTGAAGGGGAAAAAAAAATTTGGTAATTTAAGCACTGAAATGAAAAGAAAAAGAAGAAGAACAAGAACAAGAATACATACCCGGGCTTGAAAATTGAAACCCTAGTCGCTGCTTGCTCTGCTGCTCGCTGATTTTGTAAAAAAAGACTGAGCTTTTTTATTTGTCAGTGACTTAAAAGACATAAGCGAGCGCTTCCATCACTTCTCGTTTTTTTGGCAAAAGCGGATGCTTCAACCTACCTGTTACGCTTCGCTCGCTTCGCTTCACGCTTAAAGCGCTGAAGCGAGCGCTTTTCACAACACTGATATGAAGCTAAGCTTAGTTTATTACTATAATGGAAGTGCCATGGTTTAATGACCTTTTTTTTTTCCTTTTTTCTATTTCTGAGGATTGGTGGTGTTAGTACATTTTCACATAGCAAGTTACATACTTCTGGTAATTGCAGTAAACCGTAAAATGTCATTTTTAAAAAGTGTTGTTGGCCTAAAGTATAACTAATTAAAAGCGTCATCTCTCTGATAGCTTAAACTTGTCAACGATGTGATTCACACGATTCGACATCGTACTAGAGCTGTGTTCTGTCACTGTCACCTAGAAGAAATAAATAAAGTAATGACTAATTAAATACAAAGTATCTTATCTCTTACATGTTAAACTTTTAGATGAGGTGGTTCAGATTATTAAACATAAAGTGATGTATTTGGCAATACTATAAGGTTCTGTAAATAGCTTTCTCTTATAATTCAGCACACATGTATCAAATTTTTTGACTTGAAATCCCCGGTTTAGTGATTAACCTTCGCACGATCATAAATATATGATGTGTTCAATTTGTTCTGCACATAATATGAAGGTGAAAGGAGTTGATCTCTTAACATTCATAAAAATAAAATTGATGATGAAAGGGGCTGTCATGTCTTTTTTCTTTTTGGTTTCGTAAATATTGAATTCGACTCTTTTCCAGCAGCTAATCTCTCCATTTCCTCTAGTCAGGTATTAGATTCATTACACGTGTGACGTGTCCCCTTAACAAATTAATGGTTCGGATATATTTTCTTTGGCCCAATGTTTTGACCTAGGTCAAAGTTCTCTCTCTTTTCCACTGCCAGAAAAGTATCCCTTCCTTTCCTCCGAAATGTGTCAAAAGAATTGCATGTAAACAAATCTAACACCAAGTCAAACCAAAAGTAGCAGCTTCCTCTGTGAAAGAGGTTGATAAAGAGTTTTGCAGTGTCGGTGAAATGAGCTTCTGAAATTGCTTCCATGGCGGGCAGGTCTGTAATGGGGTGCAAAATCAAGCTTATTTGGGTTCTTAATTCAAGTTGAGGCTCCTTCACTTCGATTGAGATTTAACTATGGAGCCCTGTTGGTGGAAGTCGTATTAGTCTTCATTTCTCCGGCAACCAAATTTGGCCGTTTTCCTCTCTTTTTTTTTTCAAGTCTAAAATAGAGAAAATCAGGTTTTTTATTTCCAAGAGAGAACATAATCAGTCTTATAGAAACTTGTAGGTGGATATCCTTATGGTGGACTGTGGATTGTACTGTGAGGCTGTGAGCAATTCCATCTGTAAAGATGATAGTACTGTGTGAAATTTCAACAAGTATCTACTTTCATTTTAGCCTATTAAAGGGTGAAAGACATTATAGGGTCATTTTTTTGATCATTAAGATATTATAGGGTCTTTTCTTGAATCTTTGAATAATCCATCTGAGGCCCGGCCTCAAGATTTGAGATTCTGTAAGTAACTCAGGGCAAGGATTTGGAAGAAGAACATGAAATAGGAACAAACGCGCTGGTTGTTTAGTTCGAAATGGAGATTCCTTTCCCCTATGATTCCAGGAACAATCCTCACCGCCCTTTCAATTCTATCCATAAGCCTCTATCGAAGAAGCCGATTAAACAAAAGAAAGAAAAGAGACGATGACCTTATGCTTGAATAGCCTTCTTCTCAAAAGAAGCGAAGACGACTCGAGACTTTCTTGACTAAATTGCGTTCATGATCCAATACTGTTCATCTTCTCTTGCTTGAGAGATTTGGGAGGACGTGGAATTTCTGGAGAGAGAGAGAGAGGAAGAGAGATACAGTTAAAGTATTTGGATTTACCAAGCAAATTTGAACCACTAGTTTGTTAAGGGAACACTTGTGCTGACTTTGAGACTAAACTGGAGGAAATGGAGGGATAAGTTATTGGAGAGGAGCTAAATCCGAAAATATCATCTTTGGTTGATGCTCGTTAGTTGTTGCAGTACAAATCTTTAAATTTGTGCCTGGTTGTGAGAAAAGTTGTGTCTCACACCTCTTGTTTCTCTTCCAACTGTCATGGTAAACCTGGTGCAACAAGATCCATGACGGAGATGGATAGAGTATGAGGAAAATGATTGGGAGAAATGAAAAAAGAGATTATGGGCCTTTCTTTTGAATATATCCTCTGGAATTCTTCATAGCACTCTATTACGTACCTTGAAGCATATAAAAGCCTTGTTTGAAAACACGTTTAAATGACTTGATGGGGCATATATGTGTGATTTCAGATTCATTTACGTTTGGCAACGTTTACATACGCTAATGTGCATTAGTCAATGTGATTTTTCATGCTTTGGTAGCAGCTGTACTTGGGGTAATTTTGACGAGACGTGATTATTTGCTGATAGAATTGAGTAAACTTTTCCTACAATAACTTTTTCCCATGCTAGAACTTTGACTTTTTTATTATGTTACATTGGACATAATTAACTTGTAATCACATTGGAATCTGGTGGCCAAAACAGAGAAATTTCGCAAAATTATTTAAGCAACTTCACATCAAATAGCATAAGATGGAATCTCATTTGCTGAAGTTTTTCTAAGTTGCCACTGAACAATTGCTTGAAAACTGCCATTCTAACCCTCTTATGTCATCGATAAACATCTATAAGTAAAGAGCTTTATAGCATGTTTGACCAAGCTTCTAAAATCAGCTTATTTTGAAAAGTGCTTTTCTCAGAAGTGCTAATCAAAATAGTACTTTTGGTGAGGAACAATTTGTATTTGGCTAATTAATTTGAAAAGCACTTTTGAGCAACAATTAGTATTTGGCCAGGCTTTTAAAAAGTGCTTCTGGGTGTACTTTTCACAAAAGTGCTTTTGGAAAGAAGCTAATTTTTTCCGCTTGTCAAAAAATGCTTCTACTATTACTCTAAAGCACTTTTTTTTTCCTTCTAAAAGCTTGGCCAAACATTTAACTTGGTAAAAAAAAACTTCTTTTAGGCCGTAAAAGCTTGGCCAAAGC